TTGCCATTAGAAGTTTAGTCTCAGGCTTCTGAGGAATGACACCTGGGGTTGACTTCTGGCCACACACCTGCACACACATGTAACTTTTTTCCTCATTCATTAAGAAAACTTCACATGTTACAGTTGTTTCTAAGGCAAAGTCAAACCTCAGATTTGTATCATTAAAGGACCACTAAGATGAACTGCAAGTGTTTTTTCAAACTAGGGATGGGAGAGCTCATTATCCCTGGGCCTAAAGGACACGCGTGCACTGTGCTTTCCAGTTCTTACAGTCCCAGAGTTTCCAGGTGACTCAGAAAATAAACAATGCTCAATTTTTGACAACCGAAATGACACAATGAGCAATTTCCCATTGAAATACAAAATAGCTCTTTAGTCTTCCCTCCATTTTTTAATAAAAAAAATCTCAAAGAAACATTATTCTTGCTTACAAAATCCCAGCAATGACCTTATTAGAGCACTTTTTCCTCTTCTAGCAGGCTTCATGTGGGTTCCCAGGTGAAACGTGAAACTTTCTGGATGCTAGATAGCACAATCATTGACACAAATTTCCCCCACAATACTTACACATTTGAGAAAAATCTCTTTCAAAGTCCCCAAACATACTCAGCTGGTTGGACCCACCTGCGAGTGACTTTATTTACATACTTGAAATTTTGGGGGCTTTGTACGCTTGGTACCATTCTGACTTTCTCAGTAGAGCTTTCGAAAAATTGATCCCAGAAAGGCAACCTTAAGTCTCTAAAACTGCATGCTCTTATCAAATTAAATGAATTTTGTTCTCAAACCTGACATAGCAGTTGAAAACTTGACAATCTAACAACTGTTCAATTAGATCCAGGTAACAATGAAGAGAGACTCTTGTTGCCTCTTCTTATGCCAAGTTACCTTGCCATTAGCATAATTATATTCAGTAAGAGCTTCCAAATTCTGGAGGAGTCAGACAAAGAGACAAAAAAAAGTAACTGTTTCAACTTTGAAAATCAAGATGGATGAATTAAAGTACTCAGCAGTGACTTTTTCCTTCATAAGGAGAACGAAGATCTGTAGCCACATTTTGAGATGAATGACTATGGGGAAAGTCAACAAGACGGTGACGTAACTTTCTAATATTCATAGACCTAAGGAATCGTAAAAAGAGAAAGAAAACATCCTGACATTTGGTACTCAAGCTTCACAGCTGCAGGAAGTGAAGACTACCCTTTGCAGGGAAGAGGCAGACTCCCAGTAAACTCTCCCAGTGTCTAAGTCCTCACAAAATTGCAGCCCACTTCTACAAACAGTGTGAAAAATGCACAATAATTGCCTTGGGAAAGGACCTTACATCATCTCCCAGTGAGCCACCAGGGTGCTGGAGCCAGAAGTTATCTCAACAAGGAGCTATTGTGTGAGCTGGCTATTGAATGGGTCAGAAATTCCTGCATTCTCCCCCTCTGTGGGAACCTGGAGAGCCTATTGCACTGGCTAAGGGATTAACTGCCTAAACCCAATCTGTCAGTAAGAGTGATTGTGAATGGAGCCCACTTAGCACCCTGCTCTGTAGGGTATGTGTGCTGTAACACAACAGGGATTGCAAATACTGCTTTTCTAAACCAGATCAGCCTTTCTCTGTAACACAGGCAGCGTGGCCAGCAGCATGCAGACCCATGCCATGGCCAGGACTAAATGCAGGTGCCCATAAGATTTCCACCATCCCCTCCCCACTGCACTATGTATGCTCAGTGCCCCTTACTGGGAGGGTGATAGGGGCTACTATGGTTCCCATAGGCACGTGCTCAGGGGACCTTGAGCAACCTGAGAGCTCTGGCCATCACAGTAACAGCCAGGAGCACAAGCCCAAGAGACTGAGAGGAACTATGCCTGATTTCAGCTCTCTTCCTGCTCTTGGGTATACACCGAGTCAAGGGCGAAATGCCAGGCTTCACCAGCTTCCCAGAGGAAAAAGTCATGCTACGACACTCAGGCGAGGATCCTTCTTCATCAGTCTCCTGAGCATCTGGATAACAGGTCCATCTATCTCACCAGCAAGAACTCTTTTTCAGATGAGCACGTGATCTTACATTATCTATGTCAGGGATTCTAGGAAAACCAAAGCTCTGAATCCTTTATGAGAATTAACCAGTTTCCTTGAGGTGTTTTCTCCCATGGAAAACATGAATACAGGTTGGGTTCTTTCTATTGGCATCTTTTCATCACTTCCTCAGAACACTTTGACATAGATGCGATCTCATACTATGTACCACGTACTGACAGAATGTTTCTTCTTAAATGATCCTCTCAGGTCCTTACAAGTTTATGCCTCAGGGCTCTCAGACATTCAAAGTGAGAGTACATTGGGTCTTTTGGGCCAAGAGCCATTCTGCCTTAGGTCATTTTTTTCTTTGTAACAATAAGTCAGTGTTCACAGTAAGAGAGTATAAGAGAGCTTGGTTGGAATTTGTTCTTCCTACAAACAGTAGTTGAAATATAAGCAACTATTTTCACTTCTCTCTTCCTCAGATTACTATCTGTAAAGTACAAATTTAGTGTGCTGCTCTTTAGATGCCCCAAACTTTTAATATATGTACTCTAAAGTCGTCCTATTTACAGCTAACGTATTTCTCTTTTTCGTTGAAAGGCATCTGTCTCAGTTTCTTTTCTGGACTGGAGATAAAATACTCTGACGAAAGCAACTTAAGGGAGAAAGGGTCTGTTCATTTTGTTTGGATCAGAGTTTCATGGAATAGTCAGTCTGTCATAGTGGGGAAGCCATGGCAGCAAGAGTATGCTCATCATCCATCCACAGCCATAAGGGAGAACAACAGATGCACACATGCTAGTGCTTGGCTCCCTTTCTTCACTCCTACAGTTCATGACATGTCGTCTAGGGAACCGTGCCACCCACTTAAGCGCCAATCATTTCATCTTGGTTAACATAGTTAAAATAATCCCAGAGATTATTACTCAGAAGGCAATCTCTCAGGTGATTCTACATTTTTCAACCTGACAATTAAAATCAATCAGCACAATATTGTATATGTTTACAGTACATACAATGTGATGGGGTGATGATAATTTGATGAAGAACATAAATCTTCAGGTTAAGTAAATTCAATCAAATCAAGATAGAATACACATAGGTAAGCCATAAAAACCAACTATTGCATCACTCTGGGACTAGATACACATATGATAAAAACAGGAGTGAACTGAGATTTACCAAAATCCAGGATAGTCATTACATCTGGAAAGGAAAATGAAAAAGCTCATAATATATTAGTAAGTCTTATACTCAAACGCCTTATAGGGTGAATGGAGTTTTTTTGCTTTGGTTTGGTTTTTTTCGTCTTTTTGGTTTAGTTTTTCAAAACAGGGCTTCTTTGTATAGCCCTGACTTTCCCGGAACTTGCGTTGTAGACCAGGCTGGCCTCTAATGTCCTAAGATCCATCTACCTGTCTTCCGACTGCTGGATTAAAAGCGTGTGCCACCAACACCCAGCTGTGAATAGGTATTTTTGTTTCTAAATTACACACACACATACACACACACACACACACACACACAAATATATTTTGATAAGTAGAAAATTTATGAACTATTTCCATTATTGCCAAGGGGCATTTAGAAGTATTCCTCTCTTATTAATTTTCAGGAACATCTTGGGAAAGATGAAGAATATTTTTTCTTTAGATTATGAATAGAAAGCCGGGCGGTGGTGGCGCACGCCTTTAATCCCAGCACTTGGGAGGCAGAGGCAGGCGGATCTCTGTGAGTTCGAGACCAGCCTGGTCTACAAGAGCTAGTTCCAGGACAGGCCTCAAAACCACAGAGAAACCCTGTCTCGAAAAACCAAAAAAAAAAAGATTATGAATAGAATTTAGCTATGAAGCATAGTCCCTTATCGGTTTTGTGCTTTCCTAACTTCTTATGAGGGGACATTCTCTTATGAGAATTTATTTTCCACACTAAATTCTGTATGAACAAATATTACATGTAAATCAGACAATTTAAAAACACATTTGCAACTTTTTAAAGCTAAGTGGTGAATATGCTACACCCTGTGTATGTTTTTGGTCCTGGCAATAACAATTTATTGAGAATTTTCTATGTGAACGACAGTTTAAAGCACTTTAGATGTACTAATTTTTTTAAATGATTAGAACTGCCATAAGGGCCAACGGAAGGAAAAGTTACCACAATAGCCTTTTCTGCACACACTCCTAAACCTGAGTAGCCCTGAAAACAGGTACCTTGCTGGTACTGAAATTGCAACCTTCTCCTTTAACTCTGAGCAGCGGGTGGGCGGGGCCATGTCCGCCAGTTTCCCAGCGCCTGCAGGCCGCCTTTAGGGCCTGTGGCGCGGAAATGCAAGCCCGGGCCACGTGATGGCGGGCGGCACTCTGGCTTCCCAAAAGCCGTCTCTATGGTATTCTCCCCAGCGCCCCCAGCCCCCTAGGATAGCGGCATGTGACCGGCCCGGGACTATGGCAGGTTCCCACGTAATCCTGGCCTGCAGTAGTGTGGCTGCTCTGAGGCTTCTGCGCTCCTGAAGGGCGGGTGCAGAAGTCAAGGCGGCCTCAGGCGGATTCTCACTGGTGGCGAGCTTGGGAAGAGCCCCCAGGCGGTGACCACTTTGCTTCTGCAGCTAGGGTCAGCTCATTCCGTTAGCTCAGCCTTAGCAGGCTGCTCTGAGGCGGACCAAGTTCCCTTTGGGTCTGGAGCCCTTGGGGAGTGAGGCCCCAACTCGGGACCAACTCCTCAGCCACCTTGCCCTCCCTCCCCTCCATCTCTTCTTCGCACTCCACGAGTTGCTGGTCCCTTTGGGCTGGCCTGCTCGGCCGTGCAGGAGACTAAGTTCAGGGCGGTAAGGGTAACTGTGGGAAACGCGGCCCCCCAGTGGACAAAGGCAGAGGCAGGGCTAGAGCAGGGCCACGGGCAGTGAGCAGAGGCAGTTGAGGAGGTGAGTCGGAAGACAAGAGTACTGCGCATTTAGAAGGCTCTGTGAAGGACTTGTTGCGCGATGGAAGAATCTGACTCCGAGAAAAAGACGGAGAAAGAGAATCTAGGCCCAAGAGTGGAGCCTCCACTCGGGGAACCGGAAGAATCGCTTGGGTGGGTGAAGGGTATATTATGTTGTACCTAGGAGGGAGGGTGTGCTAATTGGAAAGAGTATTGCGAATGGCAACAACCCCTAAGCTCCAGGGATAAATTGCTGTAATTTACCCGCATGGTTGATTGATATCATGCCCTTGATGATAGAGAAAAACGGAGACCTGAAACAGCCCTTTGCCTGAAGCTGAGATTCCTGGTTTCTGCGTAGTGCTCTAATTGAGGCAGTTCTGAGTTGTTTTGCGTTTTCTACAAAGGTGATTTGGTGATAGATATCACCTCGTTAGTGATAAAAAGGGGGAGAGGACCTTTACTGACCAATGACGTATAGTTTGATATGCCTGTTTGCGAGCTGCATTATGTGTACTTGGTGCCTTTAATGAATGAAATGTAGCTTGGAAGGACGATCGAAGGTTCAAAGATGCTTCCAGTTTTGAAAATGAGCTAAATTAAAAATATAGTATTCAAATTAAAAATATTGTTTGACTTCTAGAAGTGCACAGCGTATTGTGTTAGTTTTATGACAAATACCAGATCTTGAATTTAAATTGTTTTTATTTCTAAATATGTCTTCCCAGGAAGCATCTCCTGAGCTAACGAAGGAAGCAGGGAACATAGACCCAGTTTTATAATTTAGAAAAATGAATACTAATGAAACGAGGTCTCCTGCGTACTTAGCTGTTTTAAACAGTATTCTTCTGCTTCTCTCCGTTTACTTGCCTTTTTTTTAAACAAATTTCTAAGGCAATTAGATCATGGAAACACTGTCTTTTGGTTTATATCTACAGGTGGGCAATGCCAAACGCAGCCATGAAGAAAAAGGTAAGATGTGTTAGGTACATTAGGATTAGAAACATGAAGAAAAAGGTAAGAAGTCCCAGTCCAGGAAATCTGTCTTTTCCTGAACTATGGCAATAACTTATATGGTCTTTTGGACTCTCATCCCTTTATTTACTGCCAGATTCCCTTTGTCTAAAATTATGGAGTCATGGAGTCAAGCCATATACAACTATTACACAGCCCTCTGCGTGCACATTGATTCTTTAACACAAATCAAATGTTCCATGTGTTTTGCTAGCTGGAATTGAATGTTCTTTGCTTTGCACTTTTATTGGGACTTAGTTATTATCCCTAAGACTGTAGCTCTGAAGCAAATTTCTTGACCTTTGTGAGATTTCGTGCCATCTGTGAAGGGGTCATAACCCTCCCAAGACTATTAGGAACTTTACATGAGTAAACTCCCTGTAGAGCTCAAATATAATTATCCTTGCCTTTTCATGAAAAGGCCTAATACTTTTAGCCTGACTTCATCTAAAATTTAATTCTGTGCCTTAAGTTTGCTAGGAAGATGTTTTTGATGAAGTGTCTGAAGTTGCTATCAACAAGCAGCCTAAAAATGCCAGAAATCTCTACATGATTAGGAGCAAAAATTAGAAACAATTGAAAATCTCAAAAAACTGCGAAAAGAGAAAAAGGGTAAAACTTTATTTGATTTAAACATTCTACAGTGTACATGCATTAAAAAATCAGTTTGTACCCTCAGAAATATATAGTTATTGTTTTCAATTACATTGTTTTGCAAAGGACGGGAAAACTTCCATACTAATTTTAGACTGGCTAAGCAGTTACATTTTCTTAGGGAGGTAAAGCTATAAATTGTTGGATTGAATAAATCCATTTTCATTAATGTTCCTTATATTTCATTAATGTTCCTTGTAATCAGACATTTCAATAAAATATATTGGGACTGAAGGTAGAGACTAGGTATCCCTTTCATTTGAAAATGAGACGGTTATGAGAATTGTATTTCATCATTTTTATGTTTAGAAGGACTCTTTGAAAGTCTTTTTAAAATTTTTTTATTTAGTCTGCACACCAACCACAGTTTCTCCTCCCTCCCCTCCTCCTCTCCTCCTCCCCCACTCTCCATTCACTCCACAGAAAGGGTAAGGCCTCCTGTGGTGAGTCAACAAAGCCTGGCACACCAAGGACCAGGCCCCTCCCCCCTGTATCAAGACTGAGCATGGTAACCCACCAAAAAGTCAGTTCATGTTCCAGGGATAAATCCTGGTCCCACTGCCACAGGCCCCACAGGAAAACCAAGCCACACAACAGTTACCCACATTCAGAGGGCCTAGTTTGGTCCCATACAGGCTTCCCAGCTTTCTGTCCGGAGTGTTAGCAGTCTCTGTGGGCTTCCCCATTGTGATCTCGACCCCCTGCTCCCTGCTCATTTAACCCTTCTCCCTCTCTTCCACTGGACTCCTGGGAGCTCAGCCCAGTGCTTGGCTGTGGATCTCTACTTCTGCTTCCATCAGTTACTAGATGAAGGTTCTATGATAACAATTAGGGTAGTCCTCAATCTGATCACAGGGGAAGGCCAGTTTAGGTACCCACTCCACTATTGCTAGGAGTCTTAACTGGGATCATCCTTGTGGTTTCCTGGCAGTTTCCCTAGCCCCAGGGTTCTCTCTAACCCCATAATTCTCCCTCTATCAAAATATTGCTCTCATTGCTCTCCCTCTCCATCCTTCCCCCAACTGGACCATCCTGGTCCCTGATGTTCTCATCTCCCTACAGTTCCCCTCTACCCACCCCCACCCCAGTTTACCCGGGAGATCTTGTCTATTTGAAAGTCATTTAGTGCAAGAATATGTGGCATTATTCGCAGGTTAAATCCTAACACAAGAAAGATGTGTATCAGGTCTTGCTTTCAGACAGTTGTCATTGCATTTTAGTTTTAATGGCTTGTTCATTTTTTGATGAAAATACTTCAAGCTTTTGTTACATATTAGGCACTGAAGATAAAAAAAAAAGGGCACAAAAGATACCAAGAGACTCCCTCTGTCCTTCAAGAGTTTGAACTCCTGAGAAGAGTTCCCAAAACAAGGGACTGCAGAGCTTTATGGTCTGCAATGATATAGTAAGACCACTAGAGGGCAGGCAAGATACCTAAGTCAGCCTACGGCTGTGGTTCTCAGCCTTCTTAATGCCTTGACCCTTTGATACAGTTCCTCATGTTGTGGTGAGCCCCAACCCTAAAATTATTTTTGTTGCTACTTCAAAACTAATTTTGCTATTGTTGTGAATCACTACATAAATAACTGTGTTTTCCAATGGTCTTAGGCAACCTCTGTGAAAGAGTCATTCAAACAACCTGTGGGGTTCACACCCCACACGTTGAGAACCACTGGCCTAAGGCATTTGGGTCAGAGAAACTATGGGGAGGATGCTGGGGATTGAACCCAGGGTTTCACTTGTAGGAGGTAAATACCCTAGTACTGAGGCACATCCCCAGCTCCAGAGAAAATTCCTGAGATGATTGTTAAAGCAAGTGTTGAAGTGGGACTTAGTTGAAAGAAGACTAAAGGATGGTAGAGAATACAGAGTGAATACAGACATAGTCAGGACTCCCTAGAGGGCTGGAAACAAAGAGACTATTTGCCATTCAGTTAAATGTGACTGGATACTAACAGTTCTGGGCTAGGAGAATCAGGAGGTGAAGACAGAAGAAGATAAGCTAAACCAAGAATGACCTTGTGTGTAATTTTAAGTGCCCAATTTTGTAGGACATAGGAAAGCTAAAAAGAAAAGACAAAAAACTGATTGAAAAAAAGTTATAGAAAGATGCGAAAGGGATGAGATCATGGGCTGGAATAAAAAGAACTGATCTTGAACAGAGAAGTAGGAGGAGCTTCTCAGTTACTCTGAAAGCTGCTAGTTGGGTCAATGTATGTACAACCTTGAATTATCGGAGAATAGGGTTAGTTTCCTATTAAGATGATAGTTTTCTTTTTTTAAATTATCTTAATTATTTGCTCTTTCAAGATTTATTTTTATGTGCATTATTTATTTTTCTGTTGTCTGTGGGAGGGTGTCAGATCCCCTGGAACTGTAGTAACAGTTGTTAGCTGCCATGTAGGTCCTGGGAATTGAACCTAGGTCCTGTGGAAGAGCACTCAGTGCTCTTAACTGCTGAAACATCTCTCCAGCAAGATGGCATTTTTCTAACATTGTTCTAAATAAATATTATGTATAATAACAAGGAACTGCACAGATGGCTCAGTGGTTAAGAGCATATACTGCTCTTCCTGAGGACCTACCTGAGTTTGATTCCCAGCAACCCCTTCAGGTGGCCTTAAAACTGCCTGTCATTGCAGCTCCTAGGGGACCTCACATCTCTGATATCTGCAGGTGCTTGCATTCATTCTTGTGCACATACCTTCCACACACATATGCAAAATTAGAATAATAGAAATAAATGTTTAAAAAATATTATGCATAATAACAAACTCATTGACATTGTATTGCTAAAATGATGTGCCCCTGGTAGCAGGTAAGTGCTTGGCATTTGGATTGTTATTTGGGGGAAGAGTTGAACTAATTACAGGTGTCCATACTGGTCATTGGTACTTACACTTCAGTAAAATGCCAGCTACAGAGGACAAATGGATCCCTTTACACTAGATTTGCACTAGATTACTAACATTTTTCCTTTGTCTTTAGGTGCTGTTAATGGGTAAAAGTGGATCTGGTAAGACCAGCATGAGGTCTATTATCTTTGCCCATTATATTGCCAGAGACACACGTCGCCTTGGTGCAACAAGTAAGATGTTTCATCTTATTGTAAAGCAAGGTGACCTTGGCTATTAATAATCTGCATAACACACTTGATTGCAGCAGCTTCGGAATGCACAGGTTGATGAATTTGCTTTGGAGCATGCTTTCCCCTTTTGCATTTCTCTTCAGAATGCGTGGCCTAATTCTGGTTATTTTTTCTCACTATCCTTGGGAGCTGCTCTCTTTTCTAGGTTGCTTGCAAAATGGGATGTTCTTAGCTAACTTTTTGTGTATCCTGCTGTTTCTTAGGCAAGAATAGGGACCCTTTGCCTGCTTATTTTGTGGGGAGAATGTTTGTTTGTAACTTTTTATACAAAGAGGAACATTATAGGCATTAGCTAGCATGCAGTAAAACTGAAGATGTTTTTAATGCAAAAGTTGGTCCTTGTCCTTATTAAAGGAAAAACTTGGGAATGGTAAGGAGTTCTATACTCTGCCATTTCTCTTTCTTTACACACCTATAGCTTCTCTTTGGAACATCTACTCTGAGTTGGGAAATAACTTCTTAATAGCACTTTGTGACTAGACTATTAGTATAGACTTCTGGGCTAGCAGAACAATGAATCAAGAATCCTGTGAGTACCTTATACTGAATCAGATTGCTATTTCATTCTGAAGCGTCTAAACATTTCTGAAGTCTGCTTTGTTCTTGGCTTCTGGCTGAGGAAGGCATCACTCTTCCTAGACTTCAGAGATTTCAGTCTGGGTTTCTAGCATCTTTAGTTTGTTTAGCGACGTTAGCATTGTTCTATAAGGTGTCCCAATCTGATTTTAAGAATAACAAACATCTTTTAAGCACATTATGCTCCAGACTCTGAGATATAAAGAAAAAGGAACTTTATTTCTGTTTGAGGTTGGTGTATAGTGTAGACTTCTATAATTTGAGCAGAAACTTGGTGATTAGAAAGCTGTTTCCGCTGGGCGGTGGTAGTGCAACACATTTAATCCCAGCACTCGGAAGGCAGAGGCAGGCAGATCTCTGTCAATTCGAGGCCAGCCTGGTCTACAGAGCTAGTTCCAGCACAGGCACCAAAGCTAAAGAGAAACCATGTCATAAAAAATGAAAAAAGAAAGAAAGAAGGAAGGAAGGAAGGAAAGAAAGAAAGAAAAGAAAGCTGTTTCCTAGATAGAGTTCCAAGTCTACTTTTTTTTTTCTATTCTGTTCTCTACACGTATTTGAGAACACAGAATATCTCAATTTATCTTATTCATTCCCTGCCTCCGAAATTTTGTTATCCTTACTTTAAAACATCTCTGGTTCCTCATTTGACATAATTTTGAATGTTTTTAAGGACTTGTTCAAACTTGTCACTATTTTTCTTATATGACATGAATGCAAATGTGGTTTTATCAGAGCAAGGCAGGCCTACTACATCTCTTATTTGGGGCATTCCTTTGCTGTCAGTATGGTGAAACTCTACCTTCTTGTTTTGAAACACCCTTCATTTTACAGAATTGTAATAAAAGCCCCAATTCGTATTTGCATATATCTTATTCAAGCGTACACATCGTTTGGTTTTTGCACAGTTCATCATTTGAACTTAGTAGTGAATCCTTATATTAAATGGCTCATGTTTAATTTAGAATCCAAGCCATTGGATTAGTTTTCTTATGCATAATAAAAAAGGACTTCATATTTTCATTGTAACTACTTATTCTCTCACTTGATGTGGTTCTTATCCTTCATAGTTATATACAGTTTTATTGATAAGTATCTCAGTTACTGTAAAAATGATGGTCCAGATAGTTTCCTATGGCTTGTAACACTTGTAGAGCTGATTTCTACCCTCTAAAAAGTATACTCGTCCAAATGTTTTCCTGTGTCTTGATTTGATACATTCAAACTTTGTCTTCCATATTAAATAGATAGGCCTCCTATCTGTGTGTTTTTAGTAGAGTAGAGATGCTTATTGAAGTACTATGACTTTTGTTCTTGCTCTCATTTACTTTAGTTTTCATATTACCTTTATTCTAACAGGTAATGAAAGTATAACTTAAAAATTAATCACATTCTGGTATTAAGTGTCAGACGGGATATTAGTCTCTGCTCTTCTCTTTATTATGACACAGCCTGTTTATATTTCCACTACTCAATTCCTAGAAGACATTTTCTTCTTATTTTAAATCCTACACATTTTGTTGAAACATCTTTTCTTAGTACCACTGATTTCCGTTTCTAACTAATCAACAGTTGGTTTATGACACTGAATCCAACGTATAGTTTCATAGCAAGATTTTCAAAACTATTGAAACTGCTGAAAATAATGTTGATATAATTCAGCAGCATTATAAGCATAATGTTGCCCATTATATAATCCTGTTCATTAGAATAGGCTATTTATTCAACAAGTATATACCTAGCAGTGTCTCTTGCCAGACTGTTAGTAGGATAGGGCACTTGCTCCTAAGAATATGTAAAGTAGTATATTGGTTGGTTAATATTTCCTGAATTTCCTTAAAGAGAGTATAAATATAATGAAAAATATTAGTATTAATGTTTTAGCATATCATCAAAAACTGGTTTGTCACTAATGAAGACAGATCTGTGTTTGTTGCTAAATATATAGACAAGTTCGGTTTATATAGTGCATTGCTTTTTATTTGTTATTTTTTTTCTATAAAGGTAGTAAAAAGAGTACTACTTTTACAATGTTGTTTGACTTAAATGTGTTAGTGTTTTTCTGATTTTTCATTCCTAAAATATGTTGTTTTATTTTGTTAAATTTAAAGCCTCCTGCATTTTGAAATTTGAAATAAAGAAGAAACCATGATGTAATTAATTCACTAGGCAGATGTTAAAATTATTTGTTGGGATGGTAAATTTGCCACTAAAATGATGATGAAGTATTTTAATATCAAACACTGTTGACGGCTCCAAGATTTTCTAAATTCTCAAAATTCTTTTCTCTTGGCTTTTTATTTAATGCTTTATTGCCCTGATTTTCTTCCTTTATCTTTAAACAACCTTCCCTGCTTTTTAAAAATGATAATCTTTATCATAATGTTTTCTTCTTTCTGCCCCGTAAGTGTAAGTGATTCCCCAACGCTCCGTTCTTTATTCTTTTCAGTTGCTCTCATGATAACAGAGCAGGAAAGTTATAAAGAACCATAGGGACACACAGTAATATAACATTTAATCCGGAAGCAGGAAATGGGATTTATATGTAAAATGTCGTATAAGCCAAGCTTGACATATAAGATAGTCAACCTATGAAAGAATTTTAAACAATAAAAAGTAACATGATCAGAGCTACAGTTTTAATTCAAAATACTTGTGAAAGCTTCAAGTGTTATTTAAATATAAAAAGTCTACTTTGTTCTTTATTGTCAAGCCACTTTCCTAGAGACAACCACCATTAGTGCTTCTCAGATTACCATTCTGACCCTCTGCTCAGTGCATACAATTATGCATGCACAGACATGGTCTTTTTAAAGAATGGTATAAAACTCAGCAATTTGGAGGAATTACTATATGTGTAATGTGGATGGAAGTTTAGAGTGATGGAAGAGTAGAAAAAGGTACCATCTGTAAGCCAGAGTGCTAGTTTTCACTGAACTGGTGGCTGGATCTCAGAATTTTCAAGATTTTGGAACCGTGAGAAGTAATTTCTATAATTTTAAAAAACTTTGAGAAATGGCAGGGGCTTGATTTGGACTAGGGTAGTGGTAGTCGATATGGTACAAAGCTAGAATGTTGGGGGATATGCTTGGTGACAGAGTCAACAGAACTTTCTGGGGAACTTGAAGAGAATTATAAGGGAAAAGAAGACTTGAAGGATGAGAGGTTTTCGACTAGGCGGCTGGTTACATTCACCAAGGTGGAGCCAACTGAAAGGAGAGCTGAATTACATTTAATAGATTCCATTTGGAATGCTTATAGTACAGACAGAACACATTGAGAAATCAGTACTGGTGTTACCTAGTTAGTGTCCAGATGATAAAGTAATATTATATGACAGTTATCTTGTCTTGGGGAAAAATGTTTTGATGAGAAGGTGGCCACTGTTAGAGTCCCAAAGAACCCTAACATTTAAGGGACAGAAAGAAGAATAAGAGTCCATGAGGGAGGATCTTCCACAGAGTTTGTAGATGTGATGCCAGAGACCAAGAGAAGAGAATTATTTTTGAGGAGAAGTGAGTAGTCAACAGTGTCATGCTGCAGAAAGTAAGGACTAAAACGTGCACTCTGTGCTATGGGAGTAGAAACCTGATTTCTATCCCATATGCCCCATATTAAGTCATTGAATCCTGTCACTGCTTTTGTTATTGTCTTTCCCTTTCTCAGTAGCACTTTTTTCCATTTTTTTTTTAGTACTAGACCGTATACATAGTCTTCAAATTAATAGCAGTTTGAGCACCTACTCTCTCGTAGACTCTGTTGGAAATACAAAGACATGTAAGATATGATTTCTTTTTCAAGGAGGGGGAAGTAAAGGGTAAAGGGGAAGTAGTTTGTGCATCTACTATGTGCCAGGCACTTTTATGTATATAGCTCTTTGAATCCTCATAGCAATCCTGGGAGGTCAGTACTATGTTCCTTCCTTCCTTTTCCCAGAAGTGGAAGCTAATTCTAAAAGCTTTCATGACTTGCGCAAAGACATACAGAGGTAGCACTGTCATATAAACTAAAGTCTGTTTGACTTTACAATCTGTATGATGTACATTATCATGAATGGTTTTTGTCTATATATTATGAAATTGTATAAAAGTAGATAGCAAAAAAAAGTAGATAGCAGTTGGTTTAGGTAACAGCTTGGGGATAGACACAGGAAATATTTCAATGTGACTCAGTTGACTAGCACATAAATTATATAGAATGAAATTGTTAGATTGTGAAAAATATTCATGGTAAAATCTTAAATTATTCCTTCTTGAGGTTTTTAGTGCCTGGCAGAGAGTAGTTGCTTAATAAATGTTTGAATGAGTTCAGCTTATGGTAAGTGGGATTTTTGTCAGGCAAGGAGAACTTTTGGAGGAGGTGGGAATTAGTTTGGATTTTAGAATTACCTTTGAAAGGAAGAAGGGATGGCACTTTGTAGCAAAAGATGGAAAAGGTAATGGGTTGTAGGAGGGAACCATTAAGCAGAGGTCGCAAACAGCCTATGTGCTGGAGAAGGCCGATGGTTGTGCTTTCTTTGACTTTGTGCATTGTTTTAGAACGATTTGAACTTATAATCTCCTGTAAAAGTTTTCATAAAAATCTAGAATTCAAGCTACTACTTAAAATGTTGAAGATCTAGTAAACCTGAGCCAGTAGTAATTTTGCATGGCAAATGAACAAGATTTGAGTAACTATCAACCTCTGTGAGCCCATGGTAGATGTTTACCATCACGTTTAGCTAGCTTAAATGGTATAGGTTTGCTCACATGGCCTGATTTAGCAAGTTTGCGACCCCTGAATGTGAAATATGTTGGGGGGTGGGGAGGTAGTAGGGTTGGGAGGACTATGAATAAAACATAATAGGTTGAAGTGAAATGATTTGTTAATGGGAATTTCTGGGGATTATAAAGGTAGATTGGAAGCCAAAGTGAAGGACCTTGAGTGAAGGACCATTAAATATGTAGGGGCCATTTAAAGTGTTTTGAATGGGGAGTGATATGTTCAAAGTAGTGTTAAGAAGATGAACCTTGCAGTAGCCTAATGGATGATGTAAGTAAGGCTTTCTTGTAGTGTAGGCATGAGGTAGTAAGGGCCCTCCTTGATGTTGAATGATAGAATATGAAATAAAGAATGAAATTAAGAGATACTAAAAATGATTCAAAAAGAATTGAGCATGGTCAGGTGAGTCAAAATTAGGAAAATCAATAAAGTCATTAACTGCTGAGGAAATCAGTACAGAAGTTAGTTTTGTTATGTTTTATGTTTGTTTTCTGTCTTTAATTTTTTTGAGGAAAGTTGGAGAAAGAAGGTGGGGTTGGGAAGATCTGTTAAATGGTGTATGTCACTGTCTTGCGTGTTAAAACTTAACATTAATATTATAATTGGGGAATGTTTCTGCTTTGGGTACTAAACTACTGAAATTTAAAAATTACTGACACAAGGCAATCCTTTAGCTTAGGGTAGTGTAAATGCCTACCTTGCCACTAAACCACATGACTAAGCTGAAAATCACCTTCTTGTTATGGCTTTGAGCATTTCACTCCACTTTGGTCCTTCTAAACACCATGGGTTAGTGGTTTTTATTTTCTTTCTGATCCTAATGGTCTTTACTGCAAATACTAGATTTGTAACATTTATCTTCCAGTTGATGTAGAGCATTCTCATGTTCGATTTCTGGGAAACCTGGTTTTGAACCTGTGGGATTGTGGTGGGTAAGTACTATGTGCCTACTTGTTTGTGAAGTTGATAGCAATAATGATGTCATCAAGTATAATCAACTATACCTAGAATAACTATTATATTCATAGATCCCCTGCCTAAAAATATTTCAGAATTGTCAGTTGATTAGTAAAGATGTGTTTTGTACAACTTTGAAAATGCCCTCTACATAAGAGATATTTAAGTAGCTCCAATCTAAGCTCCATCTAAGTATATATAATATGGGATAGATCAGCCCTCTTTTGCAGTGGCGTAAATTAAATCTGCCTCAGGTTGATTGACGCTAGTATTGAGTTGAGTTCTTAGCTATTTTTATTATACTAGACTGTTTATAGTCATTTTTGGTAATTACTTCTAGGCAGTCTTATCACTTGTAGATTGCATTCTGAGCATATTATATCTGACCAAGTTACCTATTATTGGGAGAGTAAGAGAGCACTTCCTTTCATAATCAATGCAATCATCAAAAATCCCCACACAAATGTACACTTACTATGCCTGTGTGCTGAGTTCATATACATCACTGTGCTGAAGCAGCGGTAGTGAATGCATAGTGATTAAGAGCATAGGTTCTTTGTCTGGCATATGTTCAAAGTCTCTGTGCTGTAGCTTCACCTGTACAATAGAGCAAAATAACCAACTTGTTGGTTTATTATGATGATTAAGCAGGTTGAAATATATACAATATATACTGTAGTGTCTTACAAAATAGATATTATTGTCTGGTGGTTATTTCCTAGCTCTAAACATACAAAAGATGCTCAATTAGTATTTTGACAGAATAATGTAAGACCTAAATACTCTTAAGAAAGTAACTCTTTTCTTGCTAGCACCTGGATTAATATCCTAGGATATAAATCTTCCCTCATTTTGATTGCTTCTAATTCTCTATGTCAACAGATATATCCAAGTTCCTTGCTTTTAGGTACTAAATATGAAATTCAGTTTTGTAGTTCAAGTATCTGTTGTAACTTAGAGAATTTATGATTCTTCCAAGGTTGCACAGCTGTAATTAGCAAGGTGCAAGATTAGGATTAGAAATTTGTAAACACCACCCCATATACACTGCTAAATGATACTACTGTTTTGTTGATTTCCTGCTATTGAGATTGTTTTTGGAAAGTAGCACCCAACCTAGGAGCAGAGAGTAACATTCTGCTGAGAAGTCATCATTGGAGTCATTTTCATATAGTTTAGAATATTTGACTGAAGTTATTCAGCAAATGTTCATTAAGCATTTACCACCCTTTAAAATCTGTGAGACAGTGGGAGATAATATTAGGGATGATCCTTGGCTGGTTGTATAGAGGATTGAACACTATTAATTAAAAACTCATCCAAATAAGTGTAGTATTGCACTTGTGGTAAGTGTTGTAAATGACAGGGATGTGTTGGTAAAGAGCCTACAGTAAGTGAGCTGGCTCAAGGTAGGGATGGTTTCTATGAGGACATGTGGATTGGACTGAAATCTAAAGGAAAAGGTGGGATTAATTAGATGAAGAATTGAAAGAGTGATCAATATGTGTAAAAGACTCATGAGTTAAACCATCAGCCACTCAATGAACAGAAAGGTGTTTAAATTGAAAGGAGAGAGGCCAGGCATGGTAAGTATACAAAGGTAGACTGATCTTTATGAGTTTGAGGCCAGCTTGGTCTACACAGTGAGACCCTGTCTCAAATACAACAGCAACAACAAAACAAAACATAAGAAGAAAGGCAAATAATTTTACAGGCTTGCAAGTTATGACTGAAATAGAGTAAGGTAGAGCTCAATATGTTTGACTGTTCTTTGCTCTTTGAATTGAAGTTTAAGATTATCTTTCTCTTGATCGAGCTAAGAAAATTTCAAGCAGTAGTGATTAAACAGAGGACTTGTTTACGATCTAGATTTTCTTTCCTAACAGACAAGACACCTTCATGGAAAATTATTTCACTAGCCAGCGTGACAACATCTTTCGAAATGTGGAGGTTCTAATATATGTCTTTGATGTGGAGAGCCGTGAACTTGAAAAGGACATGCACTATTACCAGTCATGCCTTGAGGCCATTCTGCAGAATTCTCCAGAAGCCAAAATCTTTTGCTTGGTACACAAAATGGATCTGGTACAGAAGGATCAACGAGACTTGGTAAGAAACTGAAAAGGTGCTGTACCAAATGGTTACCGTGCTTTGTAGACTTTCTTTATAAAAGTGTAGGTAAATTTGTAGCATTCTATATTTCAGAATTAAGAAGATACAACCATGTACTTTTACTAAGTAACTGTTATCATTTAAAAAATAGTTTACTACCTCTATTGTATTGTCACAGCTAAAAGACCCACCAGGGGTAAGAATGAGGAGAGGTGGCTCCTGTCACTGGACTGATTTCGGGAACTGCTATGCACCAGTTCAAGTGCCTCCCAGTTTGTCAAGCACTATTTACAGTCCCTCACAATTGTGCTGGCATGAATGAATTTATATACACAAGTATAACTCAGACATTACCAAGAATGTTAGAGTAGGAAATATCAACCTTCACCTCAACAAAAACACATAAAACTAGTGACTTGTAATTCAGAGAACTCAGCGACTCAGTACAGAAGAGGTGTAGTAAAATAGGCAAATTCTTAGGTAAGAATCTATGAGATCTGGTGCTAGAAATCAGGAACTAACCTTGAGCCCTCTGCAGAGGCAGCAAAAGTTCTTCATTGGTGAACCATCTCTCCGACTCCTTATTCTGTTACTTTAAAAATAATTTTAAGAGCCGAGGGTGTTACTTAGTGGTAGAGTGCCTTGAGTTAAATCCCCAGTACACCGCAATTTCAAAAAATTACTTTTTAGCCAAAATTGCAATTTAAAAGCTAGAGCATTCCAACAAATGAGCTCCCCTTGATGTTTCAATCACTTGTAATTTCTCTTACAGTTTTTAATTAGTCATATAAATACTTTCCAATATATATTAATGGTCTTTTAATATATATAGTTAGTATATTTTAAGTTAAAATACCTATATTTCTAAATAAATATTCTGAGAAAGTCATTAATTTCATTGGATATCAATTTTCAATTAATATTGTATTATTAAACAATATATGTTATAGTTAATATAAAATTAATATTAAATATTAATTATTTTAAACAGAAAAGTTTCAAATAAAAATGACTGTATGTGCTTCTCAAAATAATAATTTCAGCTAAGATAAATATTTCTTTTTCTCTTTTTTTTTCTTGGTTTTTCGAAACAGGTTTTCTCCATGTACCTCTGATGCCTATCCTGGAACTTGCTCTGTAGACCAGGTTGGCCTCAAACTCACAGAGATCCTCCTGCCTCTGCCTCCCAAGACCTGGTTTTAAAGGCGTGTGGCGGCGCACGCCTTTAATCCTAGCACTCGGGAGGCAGAGGCAGGCGGATCGCTGTGAGTTCGAGACCAGCCTGGTCTACAAGAGCTAGTTCCAGGACAGGCTCCAAAACCACAGAGAAACCCTGTCTCGAAAAAACCAAAAAAAAAAAAAAAGGCGTGTGGCACCACTGCCTGGCCCTAAGATGAATATTTCTATGCATGTCTATGTATGTTTGAGTTTTCCAGAGAAACAGACCCAATCAGATGTGTTTGTTCATAGAAAAACAAAGGTGCAAACAAATGGGAGGGTATTTCATTTATGGAACTAGCTCAGCTGATGCTGGAAGCCTCCTAGAAGGAATCTGGAACCTGGAGAGCAGAGAAGATAAGCTGGAGACCCGAGAATGAAAGTATTATACATAGAGGAGGAAGTAAAATATCCTTATTTTCAGATGATAAATTTCTGTACATAAAGACCCTAAAATCTCCATTAGAAAACTCCCAAGCTATAAGCACATTCAGCAAAGTAGTGGGATACAAAATTAAAACAAATAAGTAGCCTTCTTATACATAAAAGGAAAAGTTGATTCTTATACCAGTAGAAGACTTGGTATTTTAATCATATCTAGTCCAGTAGTTGTAACTTGCAGTCAGAAACTTCTTAAGCATATGATACCCCACCTTCCAAGAGCCATGTCTTCTACAAAAACTGAATAAACAGACTGAATAGAATTGCATCAGCATCTTTTCTTAAGTTGATCCACCCTCCTCTTTCATTCAAGAATTTCTGGATTTATAAAGTGGCACAGATCTGGATACCAGTCGAGAAACTATGGTATTTTATGATTTGTGCTAAATTTTTGGTGATTTGACCTAAATTATTTCATTTATGTAGATCAAATAAGAATGTAGTAGATATCGCTTCTAGATCATTTATAGGAGCACCATGATCAGCTAGCAAAGCTATAGGTTTCTGTGAGTTTGACCCTTCTCTTCAATAAAATAAGGGTACTCTCCTTGTTTTTTGGGGAGGGGGGAGTTCAAGACAGGGTTTTTATGTGTAACAGCCCTAACTGTTCTGGAACTTACTTTGTAGACCAGGCTGTCCTCTAACTCACAGAGATCTGCCTGTCTGTACCTCTCGAGTGCAAGGATTAAAGGTGTGTGCCATCACTGCCCGGCTCTCCTTGTATTTGATGATGAAATATATCCACATTGTTCTCATTACTATAGCACCCACTTTCCCTTTGTATTTAGGTTTCCCAGTTAAATGGTAGCAATTACCACTGTAAATTTTGGCCTACAGAGAAACGTGATCAAAGAGCAGGGAATGGGAAGCTGGGGTTTCTACAAATTTGTTTCTCATCAACATTGTGTTCTGGAACTTCCCACTGTTGATGAATAGGTTATAAATGACAAACCTTGAGGACTGTGAACTCCCTATGTCATTAGATGCCTTCCTGGGTGGTAGAACAGTGCAGATCTGACATTTTAGCTTCAGTTAGTATAGGTTGTGTTTTGATTCATTTCTCAGGCAGTTACAAGAACACTTTCTTTACCCATGACCTACAAATCCTCTGCTTATTGGACCTGTATCAGTAAATTTGGCCTGAGTGAATGTTATGTCCCTTCCACTATATTCTACACCTTTAATATCTGTTCTCATAGTTATCTTTGTTTTTTATCTGTATTTATTAGAAATATCATGTGCTTCTTTTAGAGGCTAGACTAATCTTCATGGTTCATGCTTTGTATCCCACCTTCAGGATACTTCTGACATTTGAATGTGTATAGACATAGAAGCAAAGGGGTTTGCTAGGAATGAATCAGAACTCTCTTGTAGTTACTTCTGAGGAGTCCATTTCAGTTTCTTCAGGAAAAGTTGGATTATTCTTAGATAGGAATGTAGTGGCTGTCCAATCTTCAGTCCACAGGCCCATCATAGTATCCAGCAGACTTTTCCATGAAGCAGGAAATTTCAAAGACAGCAGTCACTTTCTTCTGTGTCCTGCAGAATGTTGTCTCTTACAAGTTCTTGATTAGTATGATTCAGTATCTGAATTTCTTATCACCCACAGACTCCCTTGAGTATTCTCATTTCTCCTTGAAATGACATCTTTAATTCTAACCTGATTAGAGAATTAATCTCAGTTACATCAAAATCAATTCAGAAAACTCATTTTTAAGATTCTGCTCTAACTCTTAGAATCTTTCTGACTCCTGAAGTAGATTCCCTGAGCCTTTGGTGTCAGGGGCAGGATTACAGACATCCCATATAGTGCTGAGTGTGCCAAAGTCTCTCAGTCTGGGTACCATGTCCAGTGTGGTTCTCTGTTAATTACCTTCTACTTTAAGAAGAAGCTTCTCTGAGAAGGGTTGAGTGATGCACTGATCTATGGGTATAACAATGTGTTTTGATTTCCAGGATTTATTTTATTTTATTTTGAGAGAGAGAACACAAGAGAACATGAAATTGAGTGTATAGGAAAGAGGGGAGGATCTGGGAAAAGAGTTTGGAGGAAAGATTTGATCAGACTATATTATATGAAAAAAAATTTGAATAATTAAAAAAGGTTTTACTCTAGAACCCACTCTTAGTATTAAAATCTTGTATTAAAGGTTCACCAGAGCAGCAGAATAACAGAATGTGAAATAGGGGAGAGAGGGTAGAAGTTGAGATTGATTTATTGAAAGGAAGTAGTTCAACTGAATGAAGTTTGGAGAGTAGGCCAACATAAAACTTCAGTGTTGTACTTGAAGTAAAAAGGCAGTGTAGACATGTCTAGAGAAGGGTGTTTCACAGGACTGCCTCATAGTCTGGCTCTTACAATATTTCTGCCCCCTTTTCTGCAATGTAGAGTAGATGGATGCAGGAGTTGTGATGTAGAACTATCCATTGGGGCTGGACCCCACAAGATTTGTTGGGCTCAGCATTGTATCTAGTTGTTTTCTGTGATGTTCTTCATTTGCTATTAAAAGAGGCTTCTTTGATGAGTGGTGGTGGCTACACTTATCTGTGGGTATAAGAAGTAAGATTTAGAATATAATAGGGAATTAACATTTCTAGAAAAGTAGTAGATTCTCTTCTAAGATCCATTGCTTCACTAGTCCCTAGAAGTTGACTAGACTTCTAGTACCAGGCATGATTTCCCACTTGTTAGACATTAAGTCATATTAGACAGCGTTTGACTACCTAGTACAAAGTGGTTAGCCCTGAAATAAAATACACACAGACAGCAAAAATGAACTCAGGACAGGCAGTGGTGATGCACACCTTTAATTCCAGCACTTGTGAGGCAGAGGCAGGCAGATCTCAATGAGTTTGAGGCCAGCCTGGTTGACAGTACATGTTTCAGGATAGTCAGGACTGTAATACTAGAGAAACCTTATCTCAGAAAACAAAACAAAATGGTCGTATTTATATATCCATGCCTGTGTGTGTATGTGACAATAAATACCAAAGAAAAGACAATCAATTTAAGAAGTAAGGGGGACAAGAAAGGAGTGAAAAGGAGGAGACTTGGGAGCATCTGGAATAAGGAAAGGGAAGAGGAAAGGCAATGTAATTAGATTTTAAATTAAAATGTAATTTAAGGGCTGGAGAGATGGCTCAGCGGTTAAGAGCACTGACTCTTCTTCCAGAAGACCTGAGTTCAGTTTCCAGCACCTATATGGCAGCTCATAAATGTCTATAACTCCAGAATCCAACACCTTCCGAGAGATATATATGCAGGCAAAATACCCATGTACCTAAAATAAAAATTAATAATTATAATGTAATTTAAAAATGAAAGTATGTGTATACACCCATACTAGCAATTCACCCACATAAGGAAACATCTTGAGTATACATGTTTTATATAACTATTTTCTCTGTATATGTGTGGATGTATACATAGAAACAAATCCTAGCTGGCTAGAGCATAGTTGTTTGTATGGGTTATATATTTGTTGTAAATTAAGTATACTACACATATAAATATATGTATTTGCATATATGTATGTAATTAGAGAATATTTCTATAATGGAGAACTAAAACATTTTAATTTACAAAATTTTAATATAAGTGTTGCCATATTAAAATGACCTAGATTTGGCAGACTTGAGGGTGTGTTTATGTGTATGTGTGTGTATATATATGTGTGTGTGTGTATGTAAGTGTGTAAAACACATATGCTATATGTACATATAATGATAAATTTCTTTTTCTAACAGTGCTCTCAATAAATATTTAGCAAAACTAGGATAAGTCTGAAGAAATCTAGTAGCCATTAGCACATTTGTACTCTTGTTTGAGAAATAATAAAACTGAGGGTTCCTATGAAGACAGAGTAAGGGTCCTTGTCAAAATATGGTAAAATAATTACATGCCAGATTTTGTAGTGAAGGAGGAGAGCTGTTACATGCTGATCCATTTACTGGATTTTTTTAATTCAGATTTTTAAAGAAAGAGAAGAAGACTTAAGGCGTTTATCTCGTCCATTAGAATGTTCTTGTTTCCGAACATCTATCTGGGATGAAACTCTGTATAAGGTGTGTATGATTCCTCCATTTCCTACTTTTGGAGCATGAATAAAAGTTAGAAGGATATTAACAAAACTAAAATATTTAAAACTTTCACAGCCATCTAGATTTGTTGTACTAAAAAGAAAATAATCTTTAACAAATTGTTCAAAGAACATCAGAGTTAACATCAAAAAGAATTGTATTTTAATCTTAGGTTGGGTTGACATTGTTACCAAGTTTGCCAGTTTGAATATGATTAATCAGCTACTGTTCTTTGTCATAGCAAAAATGTTGCTTAATATCCTTTATCCAAGCCGGGCGGTGGTGGCGCACGCCTTTAATCCCAGCACTCGGGAGGCAGAGGCAGGCAGATCTCTGTGAGTTCGAGACCAGCCTGGTCTACAAGAGCTAGTTCCAGGACAGGCTCCAAAACCACAGAGAAACCCTGTCTCGAAAAACCAAAAAAAAAAAAAATCCTCCATCCATTTTGACCTGCTGTGGTCTCAGAGATTATTTTGGTATCTAATATGCAGGTATTTCTACATGCTTATGGTATAAACTAATCTGCCTAAATTCAGATAGCAATGGAAGAAAACCATTTAGTGGAGAATGGGAGAAGTGAATTTTAGAATGAGATATGATATATGTAAAGTATATTATAACTTGAGCTTTCAGGCCAAATTGGACACTAGCATTCATCCTTCCTTGGTAGCATTGCTGGAATGAGTATCATACTGTTTGCAAGTCTAGAGGGTATCACAGTAGTTCTGTGGATGAAGTTGAAGTTACCTTAGTGGTACATAGTCTCCTGCTTCTTCCAATTGTCTTGCATACACGTGGTTTAAAGATTGATTATTTCTATATCCTCATGTGGTCAGACCTTTCCTTCAGACTGCTTCTGGTCTACATTGACAAGTGTGACGCTGGGTGGCAAAGGATCCTTCTCTGTCACTGGTAGCTAGAGCTTCAGTTTCAACTCGTCTGACAAGTTTCTATAACCAGATACACAGAAACCAGACTTGCCAAGGAGAAAAGCCACTGGACTTTTAAAAATAGCATTTGATTTTTTTAACTAATTCATTCTTCCCCAGTCTGATGTTGACCCAGGCTCACTCTAATTACAACATTTTGAGATACCTGTCTAGGAAGTACTGTTCCAGATTAACATGGGCCGAATTTCTCTCAAAGCCTTATTCCCATAGAACAGGTAACCGTCAATAAGGATGGACATGACGCACTGATAAGAACCAGCTGCGGTGTGAAGGATGGCTATACATAACACGACCAAAGACAATTGGCTAATCACAACACTGCTGTGAGTGACAATGTCTCTGCTGTGGTTAGCTTTGGTGCCTTCTCCAAGGTAAATTCAGCAGTGACATTAACACCAACCTGGGAACTTGGAACACTATGCCTAAGTAGTAAAACTAATTGGAACAGAGACATGGCACTACTACTATCTCTTACATCAATGTTGCATAGAACTGACTTAAATTTTTATATTGTTTTATTCAACAAGCATTCATTGTCTATCTATTGGATGCTGTCACATTCACAAATGGCTAAGATAGGTTCCTGACGTCTTAGGAGGAGACAGAAGAACAAAGTACATCTAACCAGAAAAATAGTAAGAGTAATGGAAGTGTTCTAACAGAAGTATGAATGCAAGCACCTGAAGAGGATTCTCAGAGGGTGAAACTAATCTCGTATGCATGCATTGGTCATACTCCCGGATTAACTCAGTTTCAGGCAGTCACACGATAGACTTTTGAAAATTCAATTGAATCAGTAATTTTTACAGATGTGACCAAACATTTGAAAATTATAATCCCAGTTGTTTCTTGCATCATGACATGTTATATCTTTGAAGGGAGGGGCTACTTGTCTTTGTGGCTCTGATACCAAATTGGCTCTTGAATGTATGCAGAATATAGCATTATTTCTTCTTTTAAAGCTGTATATAATGTTGGACTTCAATATTTGTTGGATGTCTGGGGTAGAATGGTTTTAGCACAATAGATCATACTTTGCAACTTTTTTCCTAAGGCTGCATGATGGTACTAATTTACCTGTTAACTCATGGAAAGACATTTTTCAAGTGTTTGAACTCTAAAAATTCAACTCAAGGATACAAATCAAGTATTAGGTTAATTTGTTTGTTTGATTTTTGTTATATTTAACATCTGTATTTGTTTTGGACTCAATTACCAATGTATTTTGCTGTCTGTGTCTTGTAGGGTACTTACTCATTTCAAAGGCCTAGAACTCTCTATCTGTTAGTAATAGTTGATTGTGCTTCTGTCCTGTTAGGCTTGGTCCAGTATTGTTTATCAGCTGATTCCTAATGTTCAGCAACTGGAAATGAACCTGCGAAATTTTGCTGAAATTATTGAGGCTGATGAAGTACTTCTGTTTGAGAGAGCTACCTTTCTGGTAAGGACTTTCTGCTCTACAGATGTATTTCAAGCAGTCTTCTTGCATTCAGAGAACAGGATTTTACTACTTTTAGGAAGAAACACCCCCTTTTATATAAGCATATATGGTCTTATAAAGCTTTATTGTCTGCAAGTGGTGTGGAAAAAGTCCTTTGGTAAGTAACCTTTTAATAATTAGTAAAATTTAGATTTTTGTAGCTATGCCTTATTAGAGATTTAGATTAGTTCTACTAATAACTATTTAACTATGATAAAGGAATCTTATTACCTACTGAGCTTTATTAAGAAATACAGTGCATTTTTCTTTTAAGAAAATTCTTTCCCCACCCATTTATCAAAAAGATTGATACAATACGAAAACTTCTAACATGTAAAAGACTCAGTGACTTAAGAGTTTGGATTGAGAAGTGGAGCAGGTAAGAGGAATATTAATAGTACCACTTTTCTTATAAATTGAATTTAGCAATGATATCAGGGTATGCTGTACAGGCATCAGTCAGTGATACAAAAATCTATATTTTATATATATATATATATATATATATATTTTTTTTTTTAAAAATTTATTTCTATTTGGGGGGGGCTGCCACTTATGTGTTGGGTGTCCATGAAGTCTGGAAGAAGATACTCAGATTTTTTTTCTTGGAACAGGTTTTCACTGTAGCTTTGGAGCCTGTCCTGGAACTAGCCCTTGTTGACCAGACTGGCCTCGAACTCACAGAGATCCCACCTGCCACTGCCTCCCAGTGCTGGGATTAAAGGTGTGTGCCACCACCACCCGGCTGGTGTTCAGATTTCTTGGAGCTAGAGTTACAGGTAGTTATGAGCTGCCTGGCATGGATGTGGGGAACCAAACTTTTGTCCTTTGGAACACCAAGAAGCATTCCTAATCACTGAGCCATCTTTTCAGCACAGTGAATACATTTGGAAAATAGTAGTGGTCACTGGGCAGTAGTGGCACTCACCTTTAGTCCCAGTTCTAAGGAAGCAGAGGTGGTAGATGTTTGAGTTCAAGGGCAGCTTAGTCTACAGAGTGAGTTCCAGGATAGCCAAGACTATGAAGAAACCATGTCTCAAAAAAACCAAGGAAAGTAATTGTAAAAGCTAATTTGACAGACACATCTCCTGAATAATTGGTAATAGACTCATTTAATGTACCTCTCAAAGCAGCTCCCAGTGAATAATTTAGTTTTTGATCTTTACCAGTGCTAGGTGAGTTTAGACAAAATGATTTAGTCATTTTGTGTTTGTTTCTTCTTCTGTAAAACCAGCATATACTGCTTATATCATAGATTTCTTGTGCGCTTTAAAATGGGACAGTGTAATGGTAAGCAGCCAGCACAAACCCTGACATTTAATTGGGAGCAAAAGAGAATATATGCATGTACTTCTTCTATCTTTGGTTTAAGAATTATATTTCAAATATTTAACATCATGTCAGAATTTTCATGTCAATGTTCTTTTGGCAAATGAGGTGGATTTTCCTCTGCTAGAAATTTGCAACGTATTTTCAGCTCTTAGGGTACTCGTGGTTTATTAAAATTGAAAAGTATTTTTACCTGGTGTATTTGTTCTGAGTACATTAATTTATGTCAGTACTTGGATATCAGTACTTGGGTTCATCTAGTAAAGGTTTTTAATGTGATTCCAACAGCCGCTTGCTAAAGACTTCTTCACAATTATGTTAGAGACAGCTAAGAGCAGCTAGATAATTTTATTTTCTCTTTATTTATACCATTTTAAGTCAAAGACCATCTTGTGAAATGTTAATAAGCTAAAATTTAGTGATTAAGGTAATTGAGAAAAGCACCAAATGCTCCTTGACTAGGATAAGGTATGCTCTGATAAACTCTTAACTTGAAAACCTACCCAACACTATATCTTAGCAATGCAAATGCTCCAAAAATGATCCCTTCTTTATTCTTAAAATCTTGGAATTCATCTTCATAGATCGGGACTATGGCTCACTAGTGCTGTTCAATATTATAAAAGAGTATTGTACAATATGTGTACAAAAACAGTATATGTACAGTATATTCAAATTCAAAATATGATTTCTATGGAATGTGTATTGCTTACCCACCATGATCAGTCAAAAGTCATATCATCATGAGACAAAAATCATTTCTGGAGAATACACAAGTTATCTAATAAACATAACAAAATGATCCTGTTTATGTTATCTAAATGAATATGGAAATTGTTGACAAGGATGTGGGACAGAGAGGGCAAGAAACATGATGCCAGGTAACAGCTCACTTCTTAAAACCAAGATGACTAAAGTACTAATAGATGTCTATTTTAATTAGTAACAGAGGTGTGGGTATTTGCATGGATTCAAATCACAATCTCTCTCTTCACAGGTCATTTCTCATTATCAGTGTAAAGAACAGCATGATGCCCACAGAATTGAGAAAATCAGCAACATTATTAAACAGTTCAAGCTGAGCTGTAGGTGAGAGACTTTAAATGTTAGCTGTTAATTTCTGGGTAATATTTATCATTTTTGAAATTTAAAGAATTTAAATTGACTGTACATTTATGTTTACAATAGTTTGCTTAGTCAGATAAATGTTGAGTTCTAAGAGAACCTACAACTGACTAGAGAGCAGTCCATTGTCTTTTCAATATAAGCATAATAGTCATATTTTGAACATGGAAAGTTCAAAAAGTGCAAGTATAGTATGTTATTCATGGGAATTTCAGAGAGGAAGTTACTAAATTCAGGAATTTTAAAGAAAAATAACCCATGGGGCTGGAGAGATGGCTCAGAGGTTAAGAGCATTGCCTGCTCTTCCAAAGGTCCTGAGTTCAATTCCCAGCAACCACATGGTGGCTCACAACCATCTGTAATGGGGTCTTCTGGCCTGCAGGCATACACACCGACAGAATATTGTATACATAATAAATAAATAAATAAACATTTAAAAAAAAAGAAAAAAAAGAAAAATAACCCAAATCCATGTATTATGTGACCCAAACTTGTACAGAACCGTATAAAAATACTTGTCAGTGATGATGGCACACACCTTTAAGCCCCAGTACTCAGGAGTCAGACATAAATGGACCTCTGTGAGCTTGAGGCCAGTCTGGTCTACGGAATAAGTTCCAGATGGCTAGGGCTACACAGTGAAACCCTATCTTGAAAAACAACACAAAACAAAAACTCAAGTATCCTTTTGAGATATTTGATACCATTTAATAAATAAAAGTAGAGAATATCCAGCAAGGTTTATAAAAGGAGGGGGGAACTTATGAAGAAGAAAAGCCTGGGCTTTTAAAAAAGAAAGAAACACTGTTGGTAAGAAGGAAATAGGGTGAGACCAACATAAAGTAGAACAGCTGAAAAGTGTTGATATAGGAGAAGTGAGAGGTATTGAAAAGAAATAAGTTGAGTTGAGATTGAAATAATTATCTTCAGTAGAAACAGTGAACAACTATACCAGAATATAGCACACTATGTCCACTGGGATAAGGGCACTGATAATACCAGGAAGAAGCTGTCCAATCCTGAGCATGGGTGTCAAAGGAACAGTTATCTGGAGATAGACAAGCCGTGGAGACACAACTAGGCACTGGATACACCATGAGCATTGAGACTACCAGGGATAGCAGGGTAGAAATGCAACAAAGGAATATGGAGCAAGAGTCCCAGAGTGACTAACATGGAGTAACATAGTAATAATGTAATAACACAAAGGAATTGTGCTGGACCTAGCATGTTGTTATAGATGGACACAAGTATATTCTTGGGCAATATGTATGGGTCATTAGCAAATACATAGTAGGGATCTGGGTTCGAAGATGGATCCTATGACAGAAGTAAATACAAGTATAGATCCTCATGGAAACTGGTCAGGAATAATCCATTATCAGTCAGTAGCTGCCAGATGGATTATTTACGATGGCAAAACTCCTAAGAAAGCAAGTACAATACAGAAACACCTTGCAACAGGGAAGCCATGCCCATAAAATGCATTTAAATTTCAGGCACTAACAGCTGTCTCTTTACCTACAGAAACAGCTAAAGGAGCCCACCAAAGTGGAGAGGAACTATATTCATCCCAAAGGAAGAAATACTAACATTATAATAATTGTTGTCTCATTTTAGTTATTTTATATTATATTTAGTGTTATATTTTGTTAATTTACATGCTTGTATTTTAATTATTTAATAGTTTTGTTTTCATTTGTATCTTGTAAGAATAAGCTTTTATGACAGTCTTTACTTTTTCTGTACCTGTTCTCTATTGTTTCTCATACCTGTAGCCCTGTACTTTCCCTTTATTATATTTTATTCTTTCTTTTCCCTTTTTCATACCTTTTCCTCTTTTTACTTTTTAGTTATTAAATACCTTAGCTATAAGCAACTAAGGTACATTTCCCCACAGTACCTTAGTCCCTCTGTCTTGAACCTTAAGGCCAGAAGTGAAGTATATACCAAGTAAAGGCAGCTCACCATGATGACTCACATAAAATAACCAAACCAGTAAGAAAAGAAAGAAATAGGAAAACTAGAAACTACACCCAACAGATACAAACACAACAAAGCATCACTAGAGAGAGAATGAACCACTGTGACACTGTGTTCATGTGTACAGATGCACACAGTTTCTCCGTACTGGAAACCAAAGATATTGAAATACCAGAAATTTAGAAAAGGACTTCAGAGTACTGCTTTAAAAAATAACAGTACTCAAATAGAGGATTCAAGAATCAGGATTACTTAAGTAAGGAAATCTATTTAGGGCCTAGATATGAAAGTTGTCAAAATGGATGGAAAGATCAGCAGTGTGGAGGAGAAATTTTAAAAAAAGAATGTAGAAAATATTTACTAAGGAAATTGAGATTCTGAAAAAGAACAAAATTAAACTTCAGAAAAAATTCTATCAAAATACAGTGTGAAGGATTACTAACACATAAAACCAAGCAGAAAAAAGGAATACAAAACTTTGAGGATAAATTGCATTCAGGTAGGTAGAGAGACAGACAGATGCACAAAATTAGCATGACCAGCTAGTCTGTGGTAGCACACATCTTTTTAATCCCAGTACTTGGGAGTTTGAGGCCAGCCTGGTCTATAGAACAAGTTCCAGAACTGCTAGGACTACAGAGAAACCCTGTCTCAAAATACCAAAAGAAAAAATTTAGCATGACTAAACCTTGTAAAAATTATGAGGTCATGTTCAAGAGCCCAAAGCTAAGAATCTGCGAGAAGAGCTAAGATAAAATGTTAGGGCATCCAGCTAAAGAAATGGCTCAGTAGTTAAGAACACTTGTTGCTTTTGCAGAGGACCTGAGTTCAGTTCCCACTATATTCAATGAAATTATAACAGAAAATTTCCAAAATCTAGGGAAAGAAATGGACAGCCAGACACAAGAGGCATTTACAACCCCAAGTATCCTTGACCAAAGAAGAGCCTTAGCATGATAAATCACCCAAAATACAAAACAAAGAAACAACATTAAAAGCTGCAAGGAGAAAATGTCAAACCTCCAACAAGGGCAAACATCAGAATAACATAAAATTGCATATAACTGAGCTTTAAAGATGGAAAAACATCACATGATATATTTCAAGCCCTGAAACCAAACAGCTGACAACTAAAATTGCTATGTCCAGGAAACCTACCTTTTTTTTTAAATATTTTTTATTTATTTATTTATTTATTATGTATACAATATTCTTCCTGCATGTGTGCCTGAAAGCCAGAAGAGGGCACCAGACCTCATTACAGATGGTTGTGAGCCACCATGTGGTTGCTGGGAATTGAACTCAGGACCTTTGGAAGAGCAGGCAATGCTCTTAACCGCTGAGCCATCTCTCCAGCCCGAAACCTACCTTTTTAAATTAATAAAATAAGAACATTTCACAATAAGTAAAAACTGTGGTAGTTAATGACTACCATATGAGCACTTTAAAAAATATAAGAAAGTACTACAGTACAGTAGAAAGACAGTTCCCATCATAAAATTACAGGAAAAACTAAATTTCATAGGAAAAAATGCAGAAAGGATAGCTGGGAACGAACCCATAACATTTAAAACAATAAAATAGCCCTGTAGGAAATAGTAAATCTTAAATGCAAGTGTCTTCAGTTCCTCATTTAACTGCTTCATACAATAAACTCACTTCACTGGCAAAGAAATCTATACACATGTAGCAAAGAATGGAAGTCAACTCCTCAAGCAAGTGGAAGCAGAAAATAAACTACCACAGCTATTCTGATACTTGATAAAGTATGCTTCAAATGGAAATTAGAAATTGGGAAGCTACATAGTAATATAAGGAGCAACTTATTAAGAATTTATAACAGTTATAAATGTATATGTACCAAGTGTTAACAGAATTTAATTTGCTAAAACAAATACACAACAGCATGAAAACACAGATGGGTCCTGATACTTTTGATTTTAATATGCTGCTTTAGGTAGGTCATCCAAAGTGAAAACTAACAAATGTCAGAGCTCTACCCTACCACAGATTAAATAGATTTTATAGATGTCTGCAGAATAGTCCATCTTACGTCCATGGAATACACATTTGTTTCTGCAGTCCATGAAACTTTCTCTGAATTTGATCACATAAGCTACCAAATAAGCCTTAACCAAAGAGTTCAAATAATTATTTTTATTTTGTCAGATTATAATGGGACTAAAACTAGAAAGGCAAATAACAGAAACATAAAGGAACTGTAGAAAATAACATGCCTAAATATACAATGATAGACTAAATCAAAGAGGAAGTTTAAAAATTCTTAGAATCAAGTGAAAAGGATTGTGTAATTTACCATAATCTGTGGTATACAGCTAAAGCAGTTCTAAGAGAAAAGTTTATAAGCCATGAGTGCTTACATTAAAATCAGAGATATCTCAAATAACAATGGTGTACGTTAAGGTCTTAGAAAAAGGCGAACAAGCTGGGCGGTTGTGGCACAGCTTTAATCCCAGCACTCTGGAGGCAGAGACAGGCAGAACTCTGTGAGTTCAAGGACAGCCTGGTCTACAAGAGCTAGTTCTAGGCCAGGCGCCAAAGCTACAGAGAGGGAGGGAGGGAGGAGAGAATAACCAAACCTTAAATTTAAATAAATTAAATTTATTAAAGTAGGAGACAAGAAATAATACAAATCAGGGCAGAAGTTAGGAAAATCGAGACTAAAAGGTAAATACATAGAATCAGGCAACAAGATGCCTCCTTATAAGGCTAAACATGAGAGATAAGCCTATAGCTAAACTAAACAGAAGAGAAATAACTAATAGAATCAGAGCTGTGAATGGTGATGTTGCAGCAAATTCTAGTTAAATCTAGGAAATTATTAGGGAACACATTGAATACTTATATTAAAAAATCCCCTGAAAAACCTGGAAGACATGGATAGATTCCTAAATATCTATAACCTACCTAAATTCAGTACAAAAGGTATAAATACCTCAGAACCATATCATGTAGCTAGACTGAAGTACTAATTAAACATGTCTCTCCACAAAGAGGCCTAGAATCAAGTGGATTACTGAGTTTTACCAAACGTTTAAGAAACAGGTAAATCTAATACCTAATAATCTGTCCCATGAGACAGAAAGGGAAGGAATACTACCAAATTAATTCTATGAAGGAGTTATGTTGTTACCATAACCCAGTAAGGGCACACCAGAAATAACCCAGATCAATTTTCCTGATGAACATAGATGCAAAAACTCAACAGAGTACTTGAAAACTAAATTATGGAACAAAGACTATATACCATGGCCAACTTGCTTTCGTCCCACAGATTCAAAGTTGGTTCAATGTATGGTACTCAATAAGTATAATATAATACATAAATGAACATACAGATAGAACGCATATTACTAGATGCAGGACAGGCTTTTGACAAGGTTTAGCAATTTCTCATGATAAAGGCCTGATAAAACTAGAAATAAAAATAATGTATCTCCCCAGATGGTGGCAGCACACGCCTTTAATCCCACTACTTGAGAGGTAGAGGCAGGCCAATCTCTATGAGTTTCTACAGACAGGATTGTTACACAGAGTGAGTTTCTGGACAGAAAGAATTGTTACACAGAGAAACCCTGTCTTTAAAAAAATGTAACTCTACATAATAAGGGTTATGTGTCAAACCTGTAGCTAATCAACATATTCAACAAATTAACAGGATACTAAATCAGTATTAAAATAGTAGTCATTATATAGACTGAACAGGTTGTATTTTTATATTTAGGAATACACACACGAGAAAAGGAGATGTGTGGATAAATAGAATAGATGATACAGAAATAAACACTACTACCACAGGCCCCTAATTTTGGCAGAAATGTCAGAAGTTGCTTCTGGGGAAAACCATCTAGATATTCACATGTAGAAGGATAAGAGTGGACCTATATCTCCTGCCCTGCAGAATAAAAGTGATCAAAGTTGTTATTGACCTGAAACTCTAAAACAACTAGGTAAAAATAAGTGCAAAACAGTTCAAGATATAGGCAAGGACTCTTCTCAAAGCAAATTTAGGTGCTCAAGAAGTAATCCCAAGATTTATCAAGTGGTGTTACATGAAATTGAAAAGTTTCTATATCGCAAAGGTAACAAACAGCACATTGAAAAAACTTTACAAAATCTGTCAGATTAGATTATGAATATCTAGAATCTATTAAGAACTCTAAATCTAAAAAAGTCTCCCAATCAGTAAATGGCAGATGAATTACATAGTTATCAGAAGAAATGTATATGGCCAATAATTGTTTGACTAATAATTATTACCTTAGTCATGAGGGTAAATGATAGTTAAAACATCTTCATTATCACATCTTAGCACAATCAGTCTGGCTTTCATCAAGAAACAAAGACAACACATTTAGAAGCACATCAGAAGGAGGAGTAAGTCCTTGTACACTGTACAAGGTATGAACTTGTGCAGGCACTATGGAACCATCATGTAAATTTACCAAAAAACTATAAGTAAAACTTCTGTATGACTCAGCTAAATACTTGGCATGTACTTAAAGGACTCCATATGTACAGAGATATTGAACATTCATGTTATTGGTGATCTATTAACAGTATCTTCAAAATAGATCCAGCTTTAGGTACCCATGAACAGATTCACGGATAAAGAAAATTTTGTGCGTATACAGTATGGAATATTATCCATCATAAGGAAAGGAAAATTGTGACATTTTCAGGAAAATAAATGGAACAGGTAATAATATGTTTAAGTGAAATAGGCTACTCAAAAATACCATGTTTTCTCTCATATGAGGAATCTACATTTAAATTTGTGTCTTCGTATTCAGGTCATAAAAATAAGAAATGGGATCATGAGAGAATAGGAAGATATCTTAAGTTGTATTAGAGAGAAGAGAGGGAAATATGATGCACATGACTTGAAAATACATAGGTGCACAACTTTGGGAATAAGGAAACTAGCAGTGGTGAGGGGAGAGGGTTTTAGGAGAATGGGGGGGCGGTAAATAAGAACAAAGAGAGAGAAAATGACATGATGCAACCCATTATTATTATTGTCTGCTAATTAGGAGAAGTATTAGAAAGTCTTTGGGAATACTTTGCAATATATGTCAAGTTTTAAGCTCATTTTCACTTTTTAGTCTTTATCAATCCATATCCTGGTTTTCAGTCTAGCCACTCTCTAAACATGTTGATTCATCAGTACAGTTTCCTTGGAAACTTCAAGACGATGAAATGAGATATAGTACTGTAAAACTTTCTAATATAATAAAGGGCAACTTATTTTAGTCTTTTCTTTAACCACCATTTTCCTTTCTCCTATAGCAAGCTGGCTGCCTCTTTCCAGAGTATGGAAGTGAGGAACTCTAACTTTGCTGCTTTCATTGACATATTCACATCCAACACTTACGTCATGGTCGTGATGTCTGATCCATCCATTCGTAAGTTTAAACTTGTCTGACATAGTTTAAACCTCTCATAATTTTTAAATAAAGGCTGAAGAGACAGTACTTTATTAAATATTTAATAATTATTTTATGATGAGGGTGATTGTATAAGAATATCTAAGTCACTTAATCTCACTATTCATTTAAAAATGGTAAGTGTGGTAAATTTTACATATACATATACAATGTATAATGTACATATTAAAGCTACAGTTAAAGAAATTAGTAGTGGTAGTAGTAGTTCTAAATAATTTTATTTAATAAGCTTACATTTTAGAACTGAAAATGATTTTTTCTCATGTATTATGTTTTGCTTAATGAGAATTTAAGAAAGCAGGCTTCTTAAGATTTTTATTGCTGTGAAAAGACACTTTGACTATGGCAACTCTTACAAAGAAAACATTCAATTGAAGTGGTGGGTTACGGTTTCAGAGGTTAAGTCCATTATCATGATGGGTAGCATAGCAACGCGCAGGCACACATGGAGCTGGCTAAACTTGACCAGAAGACAGCAGGAAGTTGACTAGGTGGTTTCCTGTGCATAGGAAACCTCAAAGCCTGCCTCCACAGTGACACATTTCCTCCAAAAAGGCCACACCTCCCAGGAGTGCCACTCCTTGTGAGCTTATGGGAGCCAGTTACATTCAGACTATCACAGCAAATTACTAATTGCGGAGTTTGAAAAAAAAAAAAGAACCCGGATCCCAGAACTTTTAAAATACTAGCCATGTAACCTCTAAGTTATTAAAGGTGAACTCCATGTTCCACGGCTGTATATTTCTGTTATGAGCATTAGGGGGTAGTATTTTTTATTTCCATGTCATGGAAGCCATGTTTGCTACAACCATTAGACTAAAGGTTCTCAGTGTTTCCAGAATATTCCCACATGTTTACATTATCTGTCTTCTGGTTTTATCTATTTTATGTTAATATTTAAAGGTAGCATCAGATATTTCTTGAGGTCTATTCTATTAGTCTCAAACCAAAAGATTGTGAAATTTTATGTTTAGGATATGTGAAAATCTGCTTTAGAAATATGAAATCTTCATAACTTAAGGCTTCCTGCTCCTGTAAGTTTCTCTGGCATACACTGAAGGATTTGGATCTTTTAATTTATTTGCTTTTTTGACTGCTCTTCTTAATCTATTGGGTGTCTCCCCACTCCCCACCCTCAGCTTCTGCAGCTACTCTGATCAACATCCGCAATGCCAGGAAACACTTTGAAAAGCTGGAAAGAGTGGATGGACCAAAACAGTGTCTTCTCATGCACTAAGCATTGCCGAATATTGTTTCCCACACTAAAATTGAAACACTGTTTCTTAATTTTATTGTTGTATTCATAAATGTAGACTCTAAAATATTGTGATGCTTAACACTTCTGTATTTCTTCTCTACTCCCCAGTCTTACCATTTAACTTTGAATGCTATTTATTCAAATAGCCAGTGAGGAGTTAGAAGATGGGGTGTCCATGAAGTTGGTGTAACATATATGTAGGTGATATATGTAAGTGTTCTGATAACATGATTCTAATGGTGTTTGTGTTCCGATAACCTGCTTTAAATAGTGTATGCCAAAGTCCTTCCAAGCATCCTCTTGTATTCATTATCAAATATATACATGTAAGTTTGAAGTATTACTGTTTTCTCAGCATGCATTAAAAATATTCCGTGACTCAGCCAGGCATGGTAGCTCATGCCTATAATCCCAGCATTTGGGAAGTAGAGACAAGAGGATTGCTGCAAGTTTGAGGCCAGTTTGTCTGCATAGGGAGGACTAGACCAGCCAGGGATATATATATATATATATATATATATATATATATATATATCAAGATCTTGTCTCAAAAAATCATATATATATATATATATGTGTGTGTGTGTGTGTGTGTATGTATATACACACATATATAAATATATGCATTCCTTAACTTGGATTGTAAATAAATGTTTGCTGTTAGGGATTTCAGTGTCTGTGTTTCTTTTTCTCATATCTCGAATTTTACACTAAGAGTTTAAAGTTTCATTTATTCTAGAGAAGAGAATTTGCTTATTGGAAAAAAGTTTAAAATAAAATTTAGAATGTAGCCAGAATTTTAGCACCAAGTACTAGAAAAGACTTTAAATGTCTGATATCTGTGATATATGAATTTTATAGTAAAACGAAAAACACAAAAAGCTACTGCACAGAATAATTATGTGAAATCAATATTTAAAAAATAACTTATCTATACCTTATGGATTGACAGCAGTTGGAAAATCTATGTTAGTAATCCTGACCTGATCTTGATAGAAAATTTCCAGTGCTGGTATAACTGGTAAAATCCCTGAGTGCCAGGACAATTTTGCAATATTTAAGTTTTCCCTTAACTGCTATTGTGAAGGATTATAGTCTCTGTTTCCCTAGAGCCCCTTTAAAGGAGGGATGTGTATCTGTTTTAGGTCTCCAAAAACAGTACTTTGCAAAACAGAGCTTTATGATTTCCTACTTAAATTCCTGACTTCTCTTTGAAGCAGGAATGCTTACTAACAAAATTGCAAGCCTTATTATTTTAGTCAGAAATTTAGTCCACAATTTATTATGGTTCAAATAATACCTTCAGAGCCTGAGACACAGGGGTCAACAAAACAAACCCCTTGAACCCATGGGCTCTTTATTTAAATAAAGGAATTGGACAGTAACCAATTATGTATGTTTTATTGGGAGACAAATGTACTATGAAGAAAATTACAACAGTGTTGGAGGAAGGCATTGAGGTAGGCAGTATAGTTACCCACTTCTAATTCCTTGAATTTGTTCATATATTACCTAGCAAGGAGAAATTAAGGTTACCTACATAATTAAAGCTACTGATCAGCTGCCTTTCAATGAAGTAAGATTTTCCTGCATGATCCATGTAGCACCACATATAAGGACACTTTAAATTTGGGTGAGGATGACAGGACAATCAGTACCAAAAGAGACTGTGAGAAAGACTAAAAATCACTGTTAAAATTGGAAGCAGGTGGCCACTAGGAATTTGACCATGCACCAGTGATATATGGACAGCACAAAACAGATTTGTTTTTTCCTAGAGGCAGGGTAAGAGGTGGGGGTGGGGGACAGACATGGGAAGACAGGGAGGTGAGCACCGTTGGGGTGTATAATGTGAGATTCCCAAATAATCAATAAAAAAATTTAAAAGGTGAAAGCAGGTCGCCACAAGCCTATTGTGGAGCCACTAGGAACTGACAGGGATGAAATGGCTTCTAGAACCCCAGCTGCCTTAAGAAGAAAATAGCCATGTTGACACCTGGAGTTTAGCCCTATGAAACAAATCGTTCTTTTGACCTCTAAAACTATAATAAATTTCTATTATGTCAAGCTACCAAATTCCTGATAACCCGTTAAAGCAATAAATGAAAATATATTGGGCCTTCTCAAGAGAAAAAGAGGTGGGATGTCTTGGGTATGTGTGTGGATGCTGGCGCTTGTGCGCATGAGTGCATAAATATAGGGGTTGGCTCATGTGATTATGGAAATCTGAGAAATCCCAGGGATCTGTAGTTGGCAAATGAGACACAGAATAGCCAACCAATCATGTCTCAGTCTGAGTTCACATGTATCAAGGATCTTGGTCTGGACTCTTTTTATCTCCCAGACCCTTATTATCTCCATCAAAAGAATTCAGGCAAAACACAAAGTGTAGTGTCAAAGTCAGACAAGACAAAGTTAGTTTAGAGTATACAGTCATGGGGCAAGGACAAACAATGGCCGGGGAGACTCAACCTTGATATGCAATTTAGGCAGATGAAACACTATATTTTAAGTATTTCTCTAGAATAAGTGGCTATTCCTGAGGGATTTTGTCCTGTCCAAGTGACTGATAGGCTTGTTTGGGTTATATATTAGTTGCTTGTTCATTGCTGTGATAAAATACTATGAACAAGGTAATTTATAGAAGGAAGCATTTTATTTCCTTGACTTTATGACTATCATGGTAGGACAGCATGGACAGCAAGCAACATGCATGTTGAATGGAGCAGCACCTGAGAGCTTCAAAGCACCTCCTCCTAATCTTTCCCAACAATCCCACCAACTGGGGACTAAGTGTTCAAGCATGAGCCTATAAGGGCCATTCTCATTCAAACCACCACAGCTTATGTCTTCCTAGACGGGGAATGACACATCCTTCTTTATCAGTAATCACATAAGGTTTAGGGGTCCTGGCACCAGGTTTAAAAAGTTATCTGTTTAACTTTTTATACAGTGAGGGATATGACTTGGATCCAATTTTCCTGACAACTATTAAAATCCTGATAATTTTTCTGGATATTTTATTTTCCAAGTTGTTGACTATGAAGAAGGGGTCCAACATAAAAGTCCATTGAGACTCAAATACCTAACCTTCTGTCTAATACAAAAGCTAGGGAAACAACAGGATTGGTTGCGTAAGATCTAGTCCAAATGCTGGCAAATGTAAATACTGGCCCAAGAAAGCCAGTGTTGTGTAAAACAGGAAGAGAAAGGATGGCTATCCCCACTTAGGTCAGTCAGGCCGGTCTCTTGCTGCCAGAAGGATCATCCCGTATTTTGTGTTCATCTTCATCAGATGAGGCTCACCCACATTAGAGAGCCAATCTGCTTTATTCAGTCTACCAATTCAACTGTTATTTTAATACAAAAACAGGGTCATGGACATGATATATTTGTACAACTTATGCCCATTCGAGTTGACAGAAACAAATAACAGGGATGCATTTCGTTAGGGAAAGCAGAATTAACCTCCTTAATGAAATGATATTTGAATAAAGACATTCCTTAGGGAAGCATTATCCAGGCAGAGGGAATAATTAAGTATAAGGTCTATGTTTTGGGAGGATTCTTGAAATACTAGTCGAGTAGCAGCAAGGTTAACATAACTAGATGGGAGGCGAGAGAAGTTAGATGAGACAGTATGGTGAGTTTATTTTAAAATTGGGGGCAAGCAAGATGGCCTAACAGGTAAAGGCGCTTCCCAAACAAGCCTGGCAACCTGAGTTCAGTCCCCAGAACCCAGGTAAAGGAAGAGGGAGCAAACTGGCTCCACAAAGTTGTTTTCTGATCTCCATGAGTGACCATCACATGTGTGTGCACAAGCATATATGATAAAATTTTTTTAATTTATTTATTTATTAAAGATTTCTGTCTCTTCCCTGCCACCGCCTCCCATTTCCCTCCCCCTCCCCCAATTGAGTCACCCCCCCTCAGCCCGAAAAGCAATCAGGGTTCCCTGTCCTGTAGGAAGTCCAATGAACTCCCACCTCCATCCAGGTCTAGTAAGTTGAGCATCCAAACTGCCTAGGCTCCCCCAAAGCCAGTACGTGCAGTAGGATCAGAAACACATTGCCATTGTTCTTGAGTTCTCAGTAGTCCTCATTGTCCGCTATGTTCAGAGAGTCCGGTTTTATCCCAGGCTTTTTCAGAGCCAGTCCAGCTGGCCTTGGTGAGTTCCCAATAGAACATCCCCATTGTCTCAGTGTGTGGGTGCACCCCTCGCGGTCCTGAGTTCCTTGCTCGTGCTCTCTCTCCTTCTGCTCCTGATTTGGACCTTGAGATTTCAGTCCTGTGCTCCAATGTGGGTTAGAAAGTAAAAGTGGGTGAGAGAGGAGAGTATCAGGGTTTCCTTCCTTCCTTTCTTTCTTTCTTTCTTTCTTTCTTTCTTTCTGTTTTTCAAGGCAGGGTTTCTCTGTGTAGCAGCCCTCACTGTCCTGGAATCAGCTCTGTAGAACAGGCTGGTTTAAGCTCACAGACGTTGACCTGCCTCTGCCTTCTGGAGTCCTGGGAGTAGTAAAGTCGTGCACCACCACTGCATGCTAGGTAACTGAAGAATTTGGTGTTTATTCCCATTAATGTTGGAAAGCCACTGGAAGGGTTTTAGGCTGAGGACTGATATCATACTTTGAAAAAATGATTGCTGCTAGAAATCAGACTGGAGAGAGAAGGAATGAAGTGTAGGCATTTGTAGCAACAGATAAGAATCTGGAATTTGGGGCCAGAATAATGAAAATTCGAAGGATTCTAGCTAGTTTCTTAGAGCCAAAAGGAGTTGTTAATGAGGTGTGCCCAACAAGAATCAGGTAAAAGCTCAGGTTTTTCAGCTTGAGCAACAAGGTTAATAGAGGTGTCTGAGACCAAGTACCTGCAGGAGACCCAACTTGAAAAGGGAGTTGGGAACTGTGTTGTGCTATGTCATGCATGAACAGAGACATATCTGCATATTCCAGTATACCAATCTTCACTCAGGTGACATGAAGCCTAGACATTCACATTTAGTCTTGAACCAAGTAAACAGTGAGTAGAGATAAAAGGAATTAGGAAGATATTTAAAATAGTAGCTCCTCAGAAATGGAAATGACTTCTCATGGGCATTGTGATAGATGGCTAAAGGGTCTGAGTGTGACTCTGCGACAGAAAGGAAGCAGGCCAAGAGAGCAAGCTCCCATCTTCCATGTCCTTGGCATAGGCTCCCAGAAGAAGACATATCCCAGATTAAAGGTGGATCTTCCTACCTCAGAAGATCGGAATTAAAAGTGGGTCTTGCCATTTCAAATGATTTAATTAAGAAAAAATTCCCCACTGGGCAGTGGTGGCTCATACCTTTAATCCAAGCACTCGGGAAACCAAGGCAGGTAGATCTCTATGAGCTTGAGGCCAGCCTGGTCTACATACAGAGTGAGTTTCAGGTTGGCCAGGCCTACACAAAATAAACCCTGTCACAAAAAAACAAAAACAAAGAAAAGAAAGAAATCCCTCATAGGTTTATCCAGCCACGTGG